GTCTTACTTCTTTTTTTTTTGTTTCTTTTTTTCTTTTCTATGGGTTTGGGGGGGGGGGGGAAGTTTGCCTCATCGATGCGAACTGACGGCACCGGCTGCGCAGCAAAAGCGAAAGAAGGGCAGGGGCGAGAACGTTACTGTAGGCCTCGCTCTCTGTGGCTCCTTTTCTCTCCCGCACAGCCGGGGTCGCGCATGCGCTGACGGCTGCCACACCCGCCGCCATCCAGCACGCGTAGCACGGCAGCGCCCCATTCGCTTACGTAGCGAGTATAGGAGTCGGTAAAGCCATGGCGCTTGCACATCACTATGTCTGTTTCTCCGGATTCGCTGACGACCACGACGACGACGACGACGACCACGACGACGGTACTAATAGCAACACTGCCTCCGCAAGGATACCCGCCGCGGCGAAGGTGGGAGGGGCAAAGGCCTGGTCGCTGCAGGCGATGCGGGGGCTCTGTGAGGCTCTGGGCGCCGTTGTGCAGACACACATTACGAGGCGCACCACGGTTCTCATCGCAAGGCAGGGCCTCACGCGGAAGCGGTTAGTGGCGGAACAGCACGGCATTCCTGTGGTCTCGCCACGGTGGCTGGAGTCGCATGGATGTCTCGCCTTTGCGGACGCAGAGGTGCCGCCTCTCTTTGGTTACACGTTCTGCGCGACCCAAATGACGGTCGACGAGGAGACGGCGCTCACCACCATCGTTGAACGCAACGGGGGGGCCTTCGACCGCACACTCACGGCACACACGTCGATGCTCTTCGTCCCGCCGGGCTGGATGAGGCAGTGGCAGCAGCGGCAGCAGCAGCGCATGCGCGGGCGCCCCTCGGCCGGGCCGCACGGAGACGGACCGCCGCCAGTGCTCCCAGAGAAGATTCGTTTTGCGTGGGCGACGGACATTCCGGTCGTGGAGTACCCCCGCTTTTTCTCCATGGCGGCGTTAGACAACGGCAGCGGCGGTGCCTCGGCCCGTGCAGACTTTGACACCATCGCGCGGCTCTGCGCGTTGCCGGTTTCGGTCGCCGGTGGGCTCGTCCCTCACACGCAGCGCGAGGACGCCAGAGCGGGGCCTGCAGCCAACGAGGCGGCGGGACAGGGAGTCGTGACGGTGCGTCGTGACTGCGGCCAGGCGGCAAAGCGGCCCCGTGACGCGGGTGACGCTAGTGCCCCGCACGACGATGCCGAGCCACGCAGCAAGGAGTTGTGCCTGCTGCAAGGGGACGAGGAGGGCGGGATGCCTGCGGTGGACGCACTGCGGGGTACCGAAGCCCACGAGGAGACGACGACGCATCACAATCGGCAGCAGCTGACGCAGGCGGAGGAGGCGTTGGCCGTTCCGGACTCAGCGGGTGCGGGGGACGAGTGCTCGCGGAGTTTGTTAGCCGCCGACGCCGCTGCTCCTGTGCCCGCGTGCCACACGCGTCGCTCCCCAGAAACAACGGCACCCGGGACGGCGAAGTCTCACGCGAATGACGTTCCCTTCACTCACGTCCGTTCATTCGTGCAGGTTGCGCTGCTGGGGTGTACCGCGCGCGAGTTGATCGACTGCATACGCATGGTCGTGCACTGCCGCTTCGTGCGCACCCCCGTTGTCACGCCGTTTACCGACGTTGTCGTGGTGGGAAGCGAATTCGCACCTGCGGCGTCGGGAGCCGGCGACGCAGCTGCCAGCCAGCAGATACCACCCCCACCACCACCACCACAGCTGCGGGCTCAGCTGCTGGCGCGGCTGCGCGACCACTTGACGCTCACTTACGGCGTCCCCATTGAGCGCATAGTGGAGGTGGAGTGGTTGCGGTCGTGCTACCAGCGCATGTTGTTCCAGCGCCCGCCGCCCGCCGTGGAAAGTTCCCACGTCCCCTTCCTCCCTGCGCCACTCCCACTGGGCGAGATTCCGCCCACGGCAAAGTTCCGCCTGCGGCTTCCCTCAGCCGCCTCACTCCTCGGGGCGCCACAGCCACCGCCGCAGGGGCGGCAGGAAAACGTGGAAGCCGCTGCAGTTCCTGCTACATCGCCGCGGCTGCGGAAAAGGGGGGCCCCGGAGGCTCCGCAGCGGCAGCCCCAACCACGCCGTCGGAGTGCCCACGAACTACCACCGCGCGAGAACGGTGTGCCAGCGGTTGTGAATACCGAGCAGCAGCAACAAGAACAACAACGCGCAGCGGAGCTTCAGCTCGCAGCCCAGCGAGTTAAAAACCTTTTGGCCCTGCTAGACAACACGGCCGAAGTCGTCGAGGAGGATGCGGCGCCATTTCTCTCCTGCCTCTTCTGCTTTGTGGAGCAGGAATTCTCCCGCATCAACATGGCCGTGGTGCGTACGCTCATCAAGTACGGTAAAGGAGCCTGTCTGAAGAAGACGCGGGACGAGTGGGTCAAAGTATTAAGCCGCACTGCCGCCACGGCGACAGCGGAGGAAACACAAGCGAGGGAGAATGCGTACATCGGGCTTGTGCGGCGTCACAGCGTGCTGCGCAAGCGTCTCTGTCGAATGCAGGCGGAAGAGGGCGAGACACAGGAGACGCCAATGCGGGCGTCTGTGGATGTACATCGCGGCCGCAAGCCATCCCCGTCGAATGCGGCCAAGTGCACCCCCGCCTTTGCGTTGTACGTTGTGCCGCACGGAGACCAACGCCCTGCGGAGGGCCTTTTGCGAAGCGAACACCGAAGAGGCACGCCGCCGCAGCGACATCCACTGCGCTACCTCCCTGCTGTGACGGAGGATTACGTGCTGTGTTGCTTGGCCGCTGCACGTTTGCTGCATCCCGGGAGTTGTTTTCTCTTCAGTCGCCCGATGCCCGCGGATGCAGAGCGACTCGCTCGGCGGCGATGCCGCAGCGAATCCGTGAAGCCGCTAACTGCATCGCCGTGGCTCGGACCGCGCCGGCACGAGAAGGCACCTCTCATTGGCGTCTCCGTGTATTTTCTCTGCGCCATGACGGGCGAGGTGAGCCCCGCGCTGGTGGCGCTGCGGCGTGTACTTGTAAGCTGCCTCACCGCCGCCGTCAGCGAGTTGGGCGGCCACGGCGCCGAGACGCTGCGGCAGGACACCGTCACACACGTCGTGGTGGTCGACGTGGCGTCCGTGTTTGAATCCGCGCTTCTGCCAGACGTCGCAGCGGATGGTGCAACGCCGTGGCTTAGGGCCGAAGAAGTCGAAGAGCGTGAACGCGAGGAGTTGCTCGCGCGCCACTCCGCCTGGCCGCACGCGCTGCAGGATCAGTTGCCGGAGGACCTCGTGGAACACGTCGCGAAGGGGCGCATCTCCCTCGTAGGGCTGGAGTGGCTGCACGCCAGCGTGGCGTGGGGCCTCTTCCTCGACGAGGCGGCGTACACTTTGGCGGTGCCGCGGCGGCAGCAGCAGCTGCGGGGGGCGGCAAACGAGGTGGTATACTCCACCCTCACGCCCCCGATAACCCCGCAGCGGCGCCCCGCCGCCACCGCCGCCGACGCCACGCTTCTCCCTTTTGGCGGCACCGCAAGGACCATCGCGGGCGCCGACGGGACGCTGTCGCCGCAGCCAGGCGCGGGCTACCAGTTTGACTTCTCAACCCCCACCGCCACCCCCGTCCGTCCGCGCCTGCCGAGGGATGCGCAGAGCGAAGGCAACACCAGTGCGTTGCGGCAGAGCTGCCCACGTTCGACGCTGCGCACCCCTCGACGTCAGCGCACCAGCGTGCCCCGCATAATTTCACCCGCCGTATTGCTAGGCGGTGAAACGGTGTCTGTGGAAGAGCGAAGCTCCGCTAGCAAAATCGAGACGAAGGAACGGCGCGAGACGGCGACACCGCCGCAAAGGCCAGAGCTCAAGACGGTCGAACGGCACGCGTGCATCCCTCTTCGTCGGGCCTGCGTGCTCGGCGAGGACGACGTCGAGGAAGTGGAGAGCAGCAGTAGTGGTAGCAGCTGCTGCTGTGGTGGTGGTGGTCAGCAGGCTTTGAGGACGCCTCCCAGCCATCGCAGTGGCGTGGGTAAAAGCACCACTGTGGCGGTGGCCTTGCCGCAAGAATGGGACCCCGAGGCGAGCAGCAACAGTCGCACTGCCTCGCAGCACCCACAGACTTCACCGCTTGTGTGGGGAAGCACAGATTCCGATAATTTTCTGTCATCGCGTCGGTCAGTTGGTGCTGGCGCACTGCGGATTCATATTGTTCACGACATGCCGGAGAGAAAACGGCTTGTGGCGTCCTGCGCAAGACTCAGTGATTCCGCATTCAACGGCAGTAGTACAACATTTAACGAGACTCTAAGCGGCAGCGGTCTGAATTGCGCTTACGCGACTCCGGATAATTTCAAGCAGCAGCACCTTCCACGTCATGCGAGCATGGCAGGTGTTGTCACTCGCTTGCAGTTAGTCGGGCCTTCTGTTCGGGACGCAGATGTGCTCGTCACGCACCAACTGACGCAGCGCGAAAGCGTCCTTGCCGCCATCGCCGCTGGGCTGTGGGTGGTGACACCAAAGGCGTTGCAGGACTGCGAGTCGCGTCAGTGCTTTCTTCCCCTACGTGACTTGTCCGTGTACGAGTGGTGTCCGGAGCTGCTGCCGCCGGGGTCGCCCCGCAGCTGCGTCCAGCTCGCCCAGCAGTGCCGGAGCCGTCGCCAGCAGCGACAGGCAACCGGAACCCGCCTGTTTGAGGGCAAGTGGTTTGTCCTTGCTTCTCCGGCCACCTCCGTTGGGCTGGCGCGGGAGCGCTCGATGCGAAATGTGCTGGAAATCGGCGGCGGCATAGTGACGTGGGCCACGTGCGACGTGGGCGACTCCGGCGCCACTTCAGCCACTGCCGTGCGAGTAGAATCACCGTCCCGCGACGCGGCCAAAGCGCCAATTGAGTACCGCTTTGCCACACCGACACCCGAGCCCACTGCCGTGGCGTCCGCCGCGGCGCTGCTTGAATTTGTTGCGGCGCAGATACGAGGCCAGGACGACGACTTCATCGAGGCGAAGGGGGAGGCGGCGCGGGATGGCGCGGAGCAGCCAAACCCAGTGCCTGTGACCGAGCTCATTCTGCTGTTAGACGGTTTCCTGCAGGAAGGCGCGGCAAAGCAGT